GTCAGGTCTGAACTCCAGCCATCAGTAGGACGCTCCTATAGGACAGAGGAAATGAAATAAAGGCTAAGGCATAAAACCAAAGAGACAGAGAAGATAGAAATACAGCCAGTAGTAAAATCCCGCAAGGACTCCAGCGTCACAGTGTTGTAACAGTGTACGGCACAACTGCAAGTAATAAATATCAGCTTTCTGCAAGTGAATGACAGGTCAGTGTGGTAGAAAGAAAGAAAGAAAGAAAGAAAGAAAGAAAGAAAGAAAGAAAGAAAGAAAGAAAGAAAGAAAGGAAGGAAGGAAGGAAGGAAGGAAGGAAGAAAAGAGTTGTTGTTCTACAAACAGCTCATTAAAAAGACCAAAAAATATCACTTACTCACCGCAATACTTTGGACAACATATAACAGAGTAACGTTCTAATGAAAAACCAGACTCCAACCTGCAGTTAGTTTACGGGAAAGAGGAATTTAGTATACCAGAGTAACGTTCTAATGGAAAACCAGACTAACTCCAACATACAGTTAGTTTACGGGAAAGAGGAATTTACTTCCAAAACAAATCTATTCTATTTCCATCATAGTTTAATCCATTGTTTCCCAAAGACTGGGTCACAACCCTCAGGTGGGTCACAAGAGATTCTTTCTTTGGGTCGTCTTACATCATGTTTCCCAGGAGTTTACGAATAAAGTCTATTTTGGGGTCTTTGCGTTTAAGTTTGCCAACCAATAATCATGTATGCACTATTTAAACACTTGTGTTCTTGCTTTAACTCGTCAGCTGGGAGTTCATGAGGGGCAAAATGGGGGAAAAAGGAAATCCTGAGCAGGAGTGAGAGTAGCAGGAACACATCAGGTAATGGAGAGAGGAGCAGGGAGGGAGAGAGAGAGATGATGGGAGAGCGTATGAATATTTGATCCTGCTGTGGGAGCGGGTTTGTTGAGGTGGAAAGAAGCGTCCCAGAAGTCCTTGTGATGAGCGGCGCTGTAAAAATATTTACCTTAAACACGGCACAGAGGAGGAAAGAGCAGAAGAGAGAAGTCAGAGTCGTTTCCTACCTTTCCTCCCTTCCCTCCCTTCCTCTGATCAGACAGAGTGGGTCAGCATTACACAGCAGTGCAGCACACGGGGCGGGGGGGAGAGGAATTAATCTGCTCTGAGAGAGATGGATGGTGAAGTTGGAATAGGGGGGGAGTGAGAAAAGGAAGATGTTACTGAGAGATAGTGGTGAAAATGTGATGTGAAGCTGCTGAGGAAGGAGGAAAGATTGAGAAAAAAAAGAGAAATGGGAGATGATTAATCTGTCCTAATTATTTTCAGCCAGCCCTCAGCAGCAGCTCTGTCGACTGCAGGCCGGTGAGAGGCTGAGCATGATGGAGAGTCGGCCATTACCTATGTTTAAAACACCGGCTCCTGACACTGCTCTCATCCTCATTTAGACCCAGGAGTGTGTGAAGCAGAAACAGAGGGAGGGAGATGAAGGGGAAGATTGAAAGTGGAATCAGTTTGGCCGTGTATCAGCCCACGCCTGTGGCAGAACTCACACCAGTCTCTGAGTAGTATTTCTGAGTACCCAATGTGTATACCTACAGTACCTCAGATATTCCTGTATCTAAAGTCAAACTTGTATTTTCATTATCCTCGGTTTGCATCGTCCTTGTAACCACGTAACCACGATGGCGTTTCGTGGTTACGTCGCCATCTCCCATAAATTTATTGTCCGCCGTACCTGGATTGTGCTACTGCCGCTTTACCTTTGTGTTTTTCAGGGATATTTTGCCCTTCGTTGTGGCTCCCAGGTGTAAGTCAGACTCTGTGATGTTCACTTCTGTCTTGTCTCTGTATTGGTTGTTTCCACAGCAGGAAGTCCCTCCCCGACCCACCCCAATCCTGGAACATCTGCTGTAAGGCAGGCGTCGCTCCACTCCTTCACTTAATTAATTTTGACCACGTCTCTGCTGCCCTTATTGAAGTCTGAAGTTTTCAGATCAGAGAGCCAGAAAAATTATGTAGTTTTTGGAACCAGTAACAAACTCTCTGCAAATTACAAATCAATATGATTGATTTTTTTTTTTTTTTAAACTCTAATGTCTTATTAAATATGAAATCTTTCTGCGATGGACCTACGGAATGGCAAAATGAATGATTCATTCTGCCAAAAGCAGCAAATGTCTGGGATGAGAAGATGTTATTGATGGTTGAATCGTCCTGGTTTTTCTAATAATGTCAGTCAGACTGGGAGGTTTTTGGAGTCGGTCCATGTTGTCGGTACAAATAACAGTGGAGTTAGAACAAGAACGGACATTTATCTTTAACGTACAGACATGTTTATTATGGTGATATCAATCACCTCATATCTATTTGTTATAACTGTAGATAGATAGAACAGAATTTTGTTTATATCTCAGTAGTTGATTTGTTTCAGTAAACTCTACTTATCTCATTCTAGAACTATGTTTTAATTGACGAAAGAAAAATCACAGAATTAAATGCTTCCAAAAAACCTACAGGTACAGTGTACTTTGGCTTCCAGTGGTGCAGTAGTGAAAATGCAAAATAATAAATAGTACTGCAAGTGTTGCATAATCTTGTCCATACTATTGCATTTTTATTTATTTTTTTGCCTCAGAGCACAACTACGAATACCCATAATGCTCTGTTACTGTATATGCCGCTTGAAGCCATTTTACTTTACTGAACCGCCGAGAGTTGTTGTTTTTTTTCTTTTCTTTTTTTGCACTGAAAAGATTCTGTTGATGTAGATTTTGCGAAATAGACTGCAGTCCTGTGTACTTGGGCTCCATCACACCTCCTCCCTGTTCACCACTACATCACCACCTCCTCCTCTTTCTGCTGAAGCATCTGCCAAGAAATATCCAGCACAAATGAGGCTCTTCAAACTGTGCAGATTTGTGTGTGTGTGTGTGTCTGTTGCCTCTGAACCCACTCAGGTTCCTTACAAGGCTGTGCGATGAAAACATCAAGATGTCAAGAAAAAAAAAATCAATAAAAAAAAAGAAGCAAAAGTGTCTTCTTTTAAGTCCGGTGCTGGAGCGACTTCACCTGAGGATCATCGACTTCAAACAGTTGGCAGAGGGTTTGTCAACCAGCTGGTGCAGATGGTCAAACTCTGGGCATTGTTAGAGGACGAGGGTGAGGCCATTAGTAGTCTGGGCAGGGAGTGTCAGTGCCCTGATGACCACAGCCACACTCTCATAACATTCAGGTTTAACTAGTGATAGTTACTGATGAAGTGTGTGTGAGTTTGCTCACAAACTCATCTTTTAACTCAAAAGAAATACAGACAGACCCACACTAATAAACAGTTATTTATTTATGTTAATGATTAAGACGACATCCAATGACTTTTGACTGGTGAGTATCACCACCACTGGTGATCTGTCTCTCGTCTTACCTGTGCTCTTCATCTCTCCTTCCTGTCTGGGCAGCTGCGTCTTGTCTCATCCTTGGTCTCAAAAAACTGCACCCACAGTCTTTCCTAGTGTTCGACACGTCTTCCTAATTCAGTGTCTCAGTCTTAACACTTGACTCATCAACACCATCCAATCAACAGACATGTGACATAACATGTCCTGCACAACAACAGACGTGGGAGTGTGTGTTGTATACAAGCCCAGCTGGACATTTTCTACCCAGACTGAGCCCAAGAAAACTTCCTGCTTTACTGGCAGATTAAATGACTGTTCACCATAGAAATTCAAAAGCGTGACCTTTATTTATTTATTTTACATTTAAATTTTTTTTTTAATTTATTTATTTTGTCTTCAATCTGTAAAATATTTTTTTAAATTTATTTATTTTGTCTTCAATCTGTACAGATTTGGACCTTGTGTGCGGGCACGTGTGTCAAAAGGCTGAAATCACAAACCGAGGTGGACGTTTGACAGGTAACATCCTCCTACAGACACATCCTGATATCCACACAGACACACACTTAAATCTGTGATCGGCCTAAATCCCTGTCATGTAGCAGCAGCAGCAGCAGCAGCAGTAGCAGCAGCAGCAGCAGCATGTCAGAGTTTCAACAGCATATAAAACATTCTCATGTCTCTGTCATTCTGCTGAAAGGTAGAAGCTTCTCCAACACTTGAGGTAGAAAATTAAGGTTGGGTTCGTCTGCTCCAGTCAAATTACAAGCTTAGACTGCCATCTAGTGGATCTGGAGGGTGGTTACGTATAGTGGAATAAGTCCAGATAATAATTTTGAAACTTTTGTATTTATTATGATGTTAGAAAATTCCTGAAGCAGTTTGCATTTTCTTTAAATAGGAGTTCAGTACAGTCCTCAGTCACGATTAAACATCACAGTAGCATCTCCACTTTAATAGTATTCATCTGAGTACATAAATCATATTTCCTTCACAATGTGTTACATAATCCTAAAGTGTTTAATGTCTTTTCGATTCCTTTTTTGCAGATTAAGGAGCCAGGAAGCAGAAGGTCTGATGCCTCAACATTAATCAAAAGGTTTTATTTAGAAGTTTTTTTGTTTTTTACAATTGTGAATGAGATGCTCACTTCTGACTCTTTGTGTCACTGAAACAAGCTGCAAAATATAAAAGTATAAAATTAAAAGCTGCAATATTATAATATCAGTGATTATTTTGGGAGAGCATGCTTCAGTGACTAAAATGTGTGTTTGTTGTGTCCAGCTGGCAGCTATGTTTTCTGAGTGAGAATTTGTGTCTGAAAAACCATTAACCGTTTAAAAGACAGAGAAGCTCAGACACTCACACAGTAGGCAACACCTGGCACGAGGAAATAGAAAATATCTTTCTTTTAACTGAAAATAAATAAATAAATAAATACTTTTTTGGCAGAACCAGACTCTGGGTGTGTAGCCATCTGTGTCAGGAACATGAGAAAGACAGGAGAGGTAGAAGAAAAGATGTGGAATTAAAAGGGAGCAGGACGAGAAGAGACAAATGAAAGAGACTTGGAGGCAATATATAAATTAATTTTTATTACTAAAAATGTCAATAATAAACATCACAGATGGCTGAAAAAAATAACTTTGTTAAAAGGTAAATGGGCAAAGGTAGAAAGTAACAAATTACAATTACTCACATCATCATCATCATCATGTTACTAAATTTCTGTTTTGTGAGTAATTTGTAATTTTTAAGTAGTTTTGGCAATAGGTCATTTTACTTTCTCGAAGTACATTTCGACTCATGTATTTTACTTCGTTTCCTACCCACTATTTTTAATATAGCCAGATAACATAGGATTGTTGTACCTAATCCCCGGGCCGCGAACCGGCACAGGTCCGTCGGTCAATTGGTACCGTGCCTCACAGAAAGGATGCATAACTTACATTATTTCCGTTTTACTGATCATCTAATTCTGAGCGATGTTTTATTTTGAAAAATTACCGGATTCTCTCCGCTGCATCTGTCTGTGACTCCCACTTGATGCATATCAAGATGATCACCTCGGTCACGTGTCTTACCTACATCCGCTACCTTTTTAAAGGGGCTACTGCGGCCGGCAACACTGCTAAATTAACCCCCAAGCTAGCAAGAAAAACAGAAAACAAACGTCAACAAACAAACGCCAATGATGAGACAGAGGAAGAACCTACGCCTTCAAAGAAAAAGCGAGCTGCATTTAACAAACAATTCCAGGAGTCCTACTTGAAATATGGATTTACTGCGACAGGTTGTTACCACGCGCTGCCTAAAATACGGATGAGACTTTGAACACTGCTTCGCCTCTTGGAGACCTTTGGAGGTTCTATCCTGTCGTTGGATGATGGCTGGTGCCGAACAAACAATGGAGGTTGAGGATTATTCAGCAGAGCTTGTCCAGCTCTGTTTTCACATGCAAAATATACCTGTACCGGAGGACACATGTGTCAGCTCTTTTTAAATCTTCCACTTCAGACCTGCGAAAGCAAATGGCGGTAAGTAGAATGTCTGTGCTTTTGCCTGTGTCGTAAACTTTGTTTATTGTTTGGTTAAGACCTTACAACTTCCTTCGATTATTTTAGCTTAGCATCCATCCAGATAGCTAACGTTTGAGTGACGTAGAGCAGTACCAGAGCACAGTCAGGAATAATACTGTGATGAATATATAAATACAAGTGCATGGTTTTACTTGGAACTGGTCTGTAATGAAATAATCTTAATTCGTGTGTAGTTAAAATCCAACATTTTAAAGTGTTTTTATTCGAATTGTTGATTTTAAACAAGTTGTTGCACATTGGATGTTTTGAATTATGTAAAACTTGTTTACTTTCAGATTAGATTAGATTCTGTTGTAGTAGATTTTTAGATTGATTTGGCTTTTTTTTTGCTTGGGCAGAATTTAAGCAAAGTAAAGATAATGTTATATAATTACATTTTTTGTACTTTTTCTACCTCTGCCTAAACTAAGCCTTTTTCACTACTTATTGTATTTGGACTTCATTGGATGCTGGGCTTCACCAGCAGTGGTTACACCTAATGTCCAATAGAGGTCAGTGTTTAGCAGCAGAAAAACTGAAAACTATTAGTTGCTTTTACGTGTCCTTTGTTTTGCAGTTAAATGTACAATTTCAAATGTCGTTGCTGTTGTTAACTTTTATGTTAATGTCATGGTCAGATGAAGAAAAATAATGATGACAATTTTCATTCAATTTTGATGACAAAAAGTTTAATCTTTTCTGCATGTTTCTCATAAATTAAATCAAATTTGATAATCAAATGATCGAAAAATATTTTGAAAAATTCCAATGTACAGACCATATTTACCACTGTCCACAGAAAGAAAGAAAATAAAACATATACATATGAAACATACACTTAAAATGTCATTCTAATCAGGTCTAGAGTGTGTGAATCATCGTATTATTATTATAATAATAATTAATATTATAATTATTATTGTTCAAAACTGTATGAATGCTGTTTGAATTGAATTGTTACACATGGCTGTCATATGAATAAACCTCAGAGAAGGAATTGCATCAATAGTTTTTGTTTCTGTTTAAATGAGGTCAGTGTTTCCACTCTGCAGAGACAGGACTCACAGACTCTCACATCTCTTACATATCTGAGCTGAATGTTACGAATAACCACTGGATTTGGTTTCTGCTGTGATTATAGCTGCTCCTGTCATGGTGTGTCATGGGTGAGTGGGTGACAGTTGTCTTTATTAGTTGACTTCAGTGATAGCGATTCAGTGTATGAACCTTAGAACGTGAGATCACATGTTCTCTTCCTTTATAATTATTACCTTTGTTCCGCCTTCACAGGGACAGGGTTTCTTAAACAGACCACTCCACAAAAACGTATATAACTTATTATAAACTGAAGTCTTTCTTGGGGTTCTTTAGGCAGTAATTAGTGGTCAGTGGTTAGATACAGACGGCATCAAATCACGACTGAAATGTCACTCAAACTTTGCATCTGTTAAATATTTAATTTGATAATTACTGGTCTAATTTACTCATACATTATGACTGTGATTTCTTTGCATTATTATCTATTTAAAATGTTTTATCTATTTAATTTTATCCTGATTTTAGTGATTTACAATTAGGGTTGAAGAGTTCCGGACTGGACATGAAATCCAGAACTCTTCAACCTTGACCGTGGCCTGAGAATATTCATGGACACGATTTACGATTTACACTTTTAGTAATTAAACAAGCTCAGGTGATTGACTAATAGTTTTCCATTCTACCTCATTATTTTAAATTATAAATAAACATAAACTATAAACAGTATTTATATATATATATATATGTATAAACAGTATTTATATATATATATAAAAATGTACATCTTTTATGTTTCTCTAGCACTGCTTATTATATCAGCATGTGTACAAACAACTTTACTGTACTCAAGTATTGTGTGTTAGTAAAATCTCTTTAAACCTTATTTCCTCAATTCACATTAGAGTTCCCATTCAGTGTGTGCGTGTGTGTGTGTGTGTGTGTCTGTGTCTGTCTGCCCCTCCTGAGCCAGAGGCCCATCTGGCTCCGATGAGGGCCACAGCTTCACGGTGCCTCAGCCTGATTCATAGTCACTGGACAGTTTCAGCTGCTACATCCCACCACTGCTTCACATCCCGTACAGTGCAGTTTTCTGAATACCTTCGTGTGTACCTCCCAGCTTCAATAGCTCTCCCACTGGCAGGACAAATTCCTGTGGAGAAGCCATATCTGCGAGTGGAGCCTTTTAGCAAACGACAGTCGTCACTTGCATCTGTTGAAGAACTCTCGATCTGGGAGCAACGCTGCCAAACCATAGTTGTCTTTCTCTCAGCCTGTGCTTTCTGTCAGTCTCGACCTCTTTTACCTCAAAGGCCACAAACCTTCAGCACCTCGCTGTGATGGTAAAGAAAAACTTTACCCCTCTGTGTGTATGCTGGTCTTTCATTCCTCATAATGCATTCTTCATCTCAATCACACTTTCTCTGTCCTGTCTTTTTAACTTTCACACTCACCGATGTGACGTAACCACAGATGCTGGACTGCCAGTTTCTACTCAGCCTCGCGGGCCAAACTTTACTGTGTTGGCTGTGTTGCTGCAAAGGAGATTCTGTTACTCAAACCCTGGGCAATGTGGCTCTCATAAAGACTGGGCTCTGTACTCACAGAAGCACATGGTGTACCAAAATACATACCACATACCAAATGTCCAAATTATATTTCATTTGTTTGATTGGACTAATACACTTCTTATTCCATTAGGGACGAATATAGATGCACTATTTTAGATGAGTCATATGGTCGTCTCACACAAGTGTAACAGTTTGAGACTTAGTGAAGACTGCAGCTCCACCCTACATTCTTCGGGTATAAAAGCTGAATTGTGTTATTTGTGGACTGATACTGCCCTAAATGGTTTCTAAAAAATCAGACAATGTGGTTAGACATTGCACTATTTTGACAGCATAAAATAATGATCATTAGTATACGTGCTTTCAGTTTTGGTATGAATGGGTAAAGGATGTGCTGTGTTGACACTCCGGCCGCTGTGGTAGTAGGACCGATGTGATGTAGATTTAAAAAAAAAAAAAAAATAGGCGTATAATACTAAATTTGCATATTGTTTTTATGTGCTTATTAGTAAACCCAAAAATTCTAAAATTTCTAAAATTTAGTTTTCAAAAAAATTTTTTTTGAATATTGTTTAATATTGTTTTTCTTTTTTCATTTTATGGTTTTTTTAAACCATAAAATTTTTTTCAAAACACTTTTTGGATATGAAAAACAAAAATTGTTTCATTGTTTTTAATAATTTTTTTCAAAACACTTTTTAAATATGAAAAACAAAAAATAAAATAAAAAATTTAAAAAGATCATTTCAAACATTTTCATCAAAATTTTTCAACATCTGACCAAAAATCAAGGTTCTGCTGACAAATTCTGAAAAACATTTTCCATAAAAAATATCTAAAAAGTTTTCAAAAAGTTTTTTTTAACATTTTTTGGAAAAACCATTTTTGACAAAAAATTAAAACAATTAAAAAAAATCTTTAAATTTAAAAAAAAAAATCTTTAATTTTTTTTTTAAAACTCTTAAAATTTTTTCCATAAAAGTTTTTTTTATATATTTCAAAAAAATGTTTTCTGAAAAATTTCTTTATTTTCATGTGAAAAATCTCAAACTTTCAAAAAGATTCAAACATCAAATCGAATTTTTTCAATATCTGAAATCCGGGTTTTTTCAAAAAAAAAATTCTGTATTTTTTTCAAAATAATGTAAAAATGTTTCAAAACAAATTTTGTAAAAATGTTTCAAAAGAACTTTGTAAACATTTTTTTTTTAAAAAAAAAGTTTTTTAAAAAATCTTTAAAATTCTTTTTTTTAAATTAAAAAAAAAAATTCAAAGAATTCCAAGAAAAAAATTTTTTTTTAGAACTTTATAGTTCTAAAAAAAAAAAAATTTTTAAGCTGGAAAAATTTCCAAAAAAACTTTTTTCAACATTTTTTCAAAAAAAATCTAATCTTTTTCAAAAAATGAATGTAAAAATGTTTTAAAAAAAATTGTAAACATTTTAAAAAAACTTTTATAACTATTTTTCAAATTTTTTTTTTCAAAAAAATGTAAATTTTTCAAAAACACTTTTTTCAACATTTTTTCAATTTTTTTTTTAAACCTTTAAAAAAAATTTACACGAAAAATTTCTAAAAATATTTCAAAAAGAAATGTTTTTAAAGATTTGGAAAAATTCCAAAAAAATCTTTTTCAACATTTTTTAAAAAAAATTCTAATCTTTTTCCAAAAATGAATGTAAAAATGTTTAAAAATTTGTTTTCAAAAAATGTAAATTTATCAAAAACATTTTTTTACAAAAAATCTAATTCTTTATCAAAATTTGAATGTAAACTTTTTTCAAAAATCTTTAAATCTTTAAAAAAATGTTTTTTTAATTTAAAAAAAAATTCCAAGTTCCAAGAATTCCAAGTTCCAAGAATTCCAAGAAAAATTTTTTTTTTTAGAACTATAAAGTTCTAAAAAAAAAAAATGTTTTTTTAAGCTGGAAACATTTCCAAAAAACCTTTTTCAACATTCTTTCAAAAAAAAATTCTAATCTTCTCTAAAAGTTTTTTTTTTTTTCTGAAAAAAAAATTTTTTTTTTCAGAAAAAACATTTAAAGATTTTTT